TCGTCGAGCTGCTCCCGCTGCTCGTGTGGTGCTGTCAGCTTCGGTGCGTCATTTGCTTGAACTTCCGTCCTTATTGCTGCTAGCTGTTCTCTTGCGGATGGCATGATGGTCACGTCTTTTGTGATGACAACGTCAGGAGAGCGATCCCGAGGCGGTGCTGTCCGGGGATCCCTGGCTGGCGCTTTTGGCGCGTTGGCCTGCGCTGCTGACAGGACGCCCAGCAGCAGCTGGTGAAGAGTCGGCTGGTCTATGTTCCCGCTCAAAGTATCCCTGGCGGCTTCTATGTCGTTTTGGTTGGCTGGCAGCATCTGGCCCGATCCCCCTTCGCCGGCTGCTTCGGCCGCTCCTGCGTTGACCAGGTTATCTCCCGTTGCCTTTGTCCTCTTACCCGTCATTTTTTGATTTTTGTGACGGAGCTCCTGGTTGTTCCTCGGAGAGTGACAGGTCCGCGGCGATGTCGATTCGTTGTGGTAGAGCGTCGATGAGGCTTGAGGGTAGTCGGTAAGGTCTTGGATAAAAGTGAGAGCAACAATAATAATAAGCTCCAATAGTGTAGGCAGAATGCCGCTTACAAACGAGGGACACTGAGGGCGGGGGGGGGGAAGTGAGAGCAACAATAATAATAAGCTCCAATAGTGTAGGCAGAATGCCGGAACTATGGAGCTGTCAGCTGAAATAGTAAATTCGAATTCTCAGCAAGCCATACGGCTGCCGTACATAACCTAGCTTAGAGGCTATACTCGCTTTGCTCCTGCCGCATCTAAGCTACAAATAATGAGCGGGAAAGGGCAGGCCAAGCAGACCAAGCAGCGAAGCATCAGCGCGTTCTTCAAAACATCATCTGGAAATATTCCTGGGCCCTCCAGTCAACCTGCTGATGAGGCTCCAAGGCAGGGGCCTGGCCATGATGATGTCCCAGGACGGCCCCCAGCGAAAAGGCGCCGCGTTAGCGATTTAAATGCCAGCAAGCCAATTGCCGGTCGTGATGCAGCCGGCAGCGCTGCTCTTTCCAAGAAGCGTAGCGGGGCTGCACGGTCTCGTCCGCAAGCCGAGACCTCGGAGATGATGGATGTCGACCGTGCTGGCGCAGAGCCTGTAATCGACTTGCTCGAGGCCTCAACGTCTTCTGATCACGATAACGGTCAGCAGCTGGGCGATGGTGGGGAGGAAGCTGCCCAAGACACCCGTCCCGTTGCCGCAGCTGCCGCCGCAGGCACTCCCACACCCCTGCTGGCTGCCCTGGACAACGCCGGACAGGGCGCTTCCACCGGCGGCAGCGGCAGCGGGCTACGGAGGCTCCTGGCTGCGCGGCGACAACGCTCCTCGTGCGCTGCCGGCACTCCGGCCGTAACCCCGCGCACTGGGGAGAAAAGTGGAGGCGCAGGAGGGGCAGCGGCAGCGGCGCGTAGCGACGGAAACGAGGCAGCAGCATTCCAGCCGAAGACGATGACACCGCAGCAGCGGGAGCTTGTACGACACAAACTTGCACAGGAGTACGGCCGCCGGGTGGGGTTGGAGTCTGGGGCTGCCGCTGCCGCTTTGGGTGGCGGCGGCGGCGGTGGCGGCGGTGGCGGCGCTAAGCTAACCCCCCTGGAGCAGCAGGTTGTGGAGCTCAGGGCCCAGAACCCGGGCACATTGCTCATCGTGGAGGTGAGGTCAGGGCATATGCAACTGAGGTGGTAGTGCTGGGGAAGTTTAAACAAAAGGGATTGAGGTACTCGGGAGGCTCGACAGGGTTTTTGTTTTTCTTGATACCCCGGTTTGTCTGTTTGTCTGTTTGTCCTGCTTGTGTGCCGGTTGTGTTCATCATCCTCACCCCTAGCTGCCTATCCCTCTCCGTTCACCCGCCTCCCCCGGCCTCTCCCCCCGCCTCGGTGGGTTGCTCCGGCAGGTCGGCTACAAAATGAGGTTCTTCGGAGAGGATGCGGAGGTCGCCGCAAGGGTTTGCAATCTGTGAGTGTGCTTGTCGCTTCACCGCTGCGCCTCATCTGCTGCCTTTCACGCGCTTCTCCTTCCCTCCCTCCCTCCCTCCCTCCCTCCCTCCCTCCCTCCCTCCCTTCGACTCCTGGTGAATTCTTGCCCTGGCAGCAGCCTCACTCGTTCGTGGTTCGTCTTTCCCTCCCTCCCTCCTCTTTTCCCGCCAGTCGGTGCTTTGGAATGTACGGCTGTTTATTCGACTTTTTCACCGTGCGGTAAGAACTTCCCCTCACTCTTCCCCCCACCGCAGTTGGTCCCACATGGATCACAACTTCCTGACCGCCTCCTTCCCCGTCTACCGCCTGCCTGTGTACGTGAGGAGGCTGTGCAGGGCGGGGTACAGGGTGGGGGTGGTACGGCAGGTACGGGAGGGGTGGGGTGGGGTAAGAGGTTGAGGTAGAGCTAGAGGTAGAGGTTGGGTGCACGGGGAGGTCCACCAATGGCATGAGGAGCAGACCTCAGGTAGGATCAAATTGGACATTGGGGGTTATGAGCCGACGGGTAGTGTGGGGGGAGTTGGTGGAGGTACTGCAAGCCTAACCGAATTCAACAATCTGTTTGCGGACAAACAAAAATGAGAGGGGGTTTAGCAGATGACCTCTTCAGCATGTAAGATCTCTTACTTTTCTTTTCCACATAATTCCTTCCGACGCGAATTTGCATCTCTTGATCTCAACGCCGCGCACGGGCTTTAATTCGGGTTTGAGGTCAGGAAATTATCATTTCTTAACATTATCTTGTTATCTCTTTACTTTACTTTTGCCTGCGCGTTGCTTGATGGCTTTCCCCAATCGGTTCATCAATCAATCAATCAAATCAACCGACCAGACGGAGACTGCCGCCATCAAGGCCGCCGGGGCGAACAAGTCGGCTCCCTTCGAGCGGCGCCTGACCGCACTGTACACTGCGGCGACGCTGGAGGCGGCCCGGCGAGCTGATAAGATTGGTAAGAGAGAGGGGGGGAGGGAGGGAAGGGGGTAGAGGGAGGGAGGGA